TTGGGACAATGGAATAAACCACATGGATAGTTCCACAGCTGTCTAAGGTTCTGTCTTTCCCATGTTGCTTAATCCCTAACCTTTACGAGGCCGTTAGGAACTCTAGGAGCAGATGAATACAGAGGGACATACTGGGGTCAGCAGGGGGACTTCGTTAGCCTCAGATCATGCTCTATGGACTGCCATCGGACCTCGAGACCAGCCCTTGCGTCAGGGGATGAGAAGACAGCCGCGAGGGTCCCCATGAGCCCCAAAAGTAGCTTCCTAGAGAGAAAGGAACTTGGGGGTTTGCAGGGGCCTGAGCTATATCAGTCTGACCTGGCGTAGGAGCCCTCTGCCAATCGTGGCTACAACAAGGATGTCTTCCCTACCCGAGCTCAGCATAAGTGTCCTCGTCCTTGGGCTCTGAAGGAATACCCCAGGACGCCCTGCAGGGCTGGCCCCCGTTCAGGCTTTTTCTATGTGTTTGCAGACATAGACGAGTGTGAGCAGCCAGAGGCATGCCACGGAGGGCAGTGCATCAACACAGAGGGTTCGTACCACTGCAAATGTGACAAGGGCTACATCATGGTCAGGAAAGGGCACTGCCAAGGTAAGGAATGGGGTGCCGCCCTACCATCTCCTGGTCCCTCCCATGCACTGGTTGCCCCCAACTCCCCTTCTAGCTTGTCTCTGACTGGGCCCCTTCATGCTGAGCCCACTCCTAAAAACAGAGCACTGTCTAGAAATTCTCGAGCCCTTTCAACCCCTTAGTGATATTGTGGTATGCTGTCTGCCCCCGAAGCAGGGAACACGAGCAACTTTATATACGTGAGACCCCAAGAACATCCCTCTGTACACCTGTGCCCTCACCTTGAGTCATAGCACTCTTGTTAATGCAGCATAACAATCAACCCATCAGGGAGGCGCCTGAGATCTCAGCCTTGTCCTTCTTGCTAAAGTTTCTAGGCTGTGAGCTCCTAAGGACAGACCATATCCTTGGATGGCCCATGATAATTGACCATGCATTGAACAACCCCCAACAAATGCCAGTTGAATGAATGAATGAATGAATGAATGAACAACAAACCCTGATCCTTGCTCGCTCCCTTTCCCAGGCCAAAAGGTGACCGTGACATTGCCAACTGGTCTCCTCACAGACTGGCTCGAACCTGCCACTATTGTGTAACCTTCTGGCAGCTCTGCCACCACCACCTTCCTGCCAGGCTGGGGTGTCAAATGTTTGCAAGAGGCCTGGGTTATGTGTTCCCAAGACTGGCTGAGACAGGAATAAGTGAGAGTAAACCAAAGCTCTCTCTGGAGGGAAATCCTGCCCCGGATTCACGGGTTGTCGGCCCGGCCTCCTCCTGGCCTCCAGGTTTTTCCAGGCCAGGACCTGCCTGGATTCAGAGGGTCCTGGAGGTGAGGGGTGAGCTCACCCTCATTCCCCTTCCCAGTGCCAGTACCATGGAAGCAAAGCCCAGAGTCCTAGCAGGTCTAGCAAAGGCGAGAGGTGGTTAGGGTTGTAGGATGGGCAACTAACTCTCCATCTGCATACCCCCCAATCCACATGTCACCTTCCCAGTGTCTCCCTCTTGGTGTTCCCCCTTTCAGACTCTGGCCTGTGCATGATCAAAGCCAGAACTCCTTGTCCTCATGAGCGTGATGGAAACAGACAGCCTGGTATTTCCTAGGAGAAGGGAGAGTGAAAGGAGTTAGCATTTGATGGGTGCCCATTATGTGCCAGGTACTGTGCTAGATACCCATCATGCTAGATAAGCATCAGAACATGAATTTGACAGAACACTTTATTAAAAAGAAAAGCAAAACTAAATGAAATGAACCAAGAAAATACCAGGATATTAAAAAGATCAAATTTAACCTAACCAGTCCACGTTAAGGGCACAGGCTCTGGCAGAGACAGGCCTGGTTTTGGCTCTTGTTTCAGTGTCTGAAAATGAAAACCGTAATGCCTATCTCAGAGGCTCTTGTGAGGACTGAATGAGCATACACAACAACGTAGCATCACTATCTGAAGGCTCCATTTTTTTTCTCATCTAACCTTCCCCCGCTACCCCAGACCATGCCTCTGGATTGTTCCCTTCCCTTCTGGAGGAAAGGTTCCAGACACACACCTCGGCTGGGAGGTCAGGCCGAGTTCCTGGCCCAGGGCAGACGCTCTCAGTCTGTTGAAAGAAAGACTGATGTAGCCTGCACACTCCTCCAGGTTTCCGTCAGTAACCACAGACCCGGCCCATCACCCCGGGAGCCCAGTCAATTTCTTCTCTCTCTTTCTTCCTTCTCCAACTAAGAAACCACTCTCTCCGCTTAAACTCAAAATCTCTGGTGAAAGGCCTGCGTGGTCTGGACAGCGGCCCATCCAAAGTCTCAATGGCATTTCCGTCGTACCAGGATTCTGGGTTCCCACGGAAAGGGGTTAGTTTCCCTGCAGACTGCCAGGGCTCTGCTGTCCCCCACCCATATCCAAGGTTACCTGAGCTTCTGGCCCCTGACTGAGCACTCTCCTCACCCTGTGTTCTCACAAGCAATGGAGGCGGGCACCCTTATGTTTCCTCGTGCGAAGGCTGACGTGCTGGTCGAGAAGGTCCACAATCCTCCCAGTGTACAGACGGCAGGTGGGCAAGCTGGTCCCTGGGGTGACTATTTACATGCGTCTTTTAGGGTGTCTTCAGCCACCTCATACCAAGAGGGTTTAAACATTTAATCACATGGTCTCATTCTTTGGTCAGCAAACATTTGCTGAGCGCCAGCTTTGTCCCAGCCATGGGCTAGGACAAAACATGCCATAATCTTAGATTAAAATTTAAACCCTAGACTAGGCAGAAAAACCTGGCTCCAGTCCAGGCACCAAGGGGTTGGCGGAACAGCCTCAGGGTGTCTGGTGATGTTAGAGCCAGTGCCTTTAACACAGAGTGGTTAGAAGTGAAATTCACTTCATCTGGAACCTTCATCTGGCTCCTGTTGATTGGTTTGGCTAGTGGCTCCCATGTAGAAGAAGCCTTCCCTGGCTCAGGTGGACACTCAGGGCTGCTTTGATTTCTTTCCTCCCTCTACCACTTGCTGACAGACCTCTCACATGTGATCATCGCTGGCTGGGACTCTGGTCTGAGGACGAAAACCAGCAGTGGCATGCCAGGGCACACTAGGTTATGCCGCATTAACAAACAACCCCAATCTTAGTGACTTAGAATACAGAAACTTTACACGTGACCAACGCCACATGTCTATCATGGATCAACTGGGCGTCCCACCCATGTTTCCTCATTCTAGAACCAGGCTAAAGGAATAGCCAGCATCTTGAATGTGGCCAGTCTCCATGGAAAATAGAAAGAACGCTCGGCAGGGTTGCACATAGTTAAATGCTTTGGTCTATAAATCACACGTTATATCTACTCATAGCTCATTGGCCAGCACTTGTCCTCAGGCCCCGCCCAACCAAAAGAGGCCAGGAGGCATAAGCCCACCATGGCCCAGAAAGTGGAGGGCTGGAATATTTAGCGAACAGCATTAGGACCACAAGTCGCCTAATGCCCAGCATAAGACATGCGGGACACCACCTCCACAGATGTGCCCGGAATGTCTGGGCAGGACAGGCTTCAGAGCTCTGCTCCTGGTAAATCTAATCTCCTTCCACCACTGCTTGGTCCTGTGGGAGAGACCCCAGAACTTTAATTTTTCTCTGTGTGTTCTTTGAGGAGGATCCTTGCCTCCTCCTTCTTCTCTTCATCCTGAAAGTCTGGCCTCCCTGAAGCAGGGATTGTTCATCATTCCCAATGGCTTTGCCCAGCCTCCTTCCGGTACCTCAGCCAAGGCCAGCAAGCCATGGTGCTAGCTGCTCTCTCCTGGGTGGCCAAAATTGGCAGCCCTAGATCTTTCATTTCCTCCACCTCTGTCTCATTCTTTTCATCTCTCTGTTTACAGAAACTCTTAGAATAGTTTAGCTTGGTGTCACCACAGCCCAAGTAGGAGCTCTTGGTCGCCCTCTTTCCAGAGATGAGCCTTCTCCCTAGCAGTTCCAGGTCTCTCCCTGCAGATACCCACCTGACTGACCACCTGCCCTGTGAATATCTTCCCCTTCTGGACCCTCCCAGTGAAGTTTTGGTTTTAAGAAGGTCCCAGTTCCCTGGGACAGAGGGCTTTGGTGTGTTCCTGTCTCCTGCAGAGCAAACAGCCTCAGGGGAGACTCATTTTTACCCTTCACTGCAGGGCCTCTATCTATCCTGTTCTATAAAGGCAGCTCCTGGCTTTAGTCCCTTTGCAGAAAGCCTGTGTTCTGACCCTTGTCACTACCTCCTGCTTTTCCTCTGTGAGGCTGAGTAAGTCTTCCTCCTGGGCAATAGGGCCTCTGAACTCGCATAAGTGGGTGAACCTCCTCTAAGAGAATGACAATTACCTGTTTAGGAAGAGTCAATTTTCCTGTTTCCTCTGGAGCTTGGTCACTCTATTGGTCATGAATAGTGACTGAGAGCCTCGGCCCTGGGCCAGAGGAGCATAGCATCTTCCTGCAGCCCCAACTCAGTGTTTAGTCCCTGTGTATGACCTCTCTAACTCAGCCAGGTCCCCTGGGTGCCTTGGATATGGACTCCCCGAGATGCCAGGTCACATCGGGAAGAACCCTGCCTACAGTTCCTGGGAGCAAGATCTCCATCTTCCTCCTTATTGTCACTCTCCCAGGACTGCTGCTCCTCTCCTTCCATGGGTCCCTTCTCCCCGCACTTGTCTGGTTGGTGCTCAGGCTCATCCTTTCTGGTTGACTTTCCTGGATCTCACCAGGGTGGGTACTGAAAGCCCTACATGGTTCTTGGCTAGAAGAAAAGTCTCTCCAGCAGAGAAACTTTGCCACCCTTAGCTCTGCACCAGCCTCAGGGCCGGTCTTAGCTTCATCCAAGATTGGGGATCATCTTCAGTACTCATTTTCTGGTGCTGGGAAACCCATTTTGTCTTCATTGCCTGGCTGGTGATCTATTTGGTGGCCTGCTGTGCCAAGCACGTACAATCTCAGTAATTGTCACCACTCGTAAAGGAACAGGAGTTCACCGAGGGAGATATGAGGGCCGTTTCTGACAGTCCAGCTCACAAAGTAGAGTTCTCTCACCCTCCCACAGCTAGTGGTAACCACAGCCTCTGACACCCAGCCAGGGTGTCTCCCTTTCTAGAGTTCCTCCATCTCTCTTTGTCCAGGACAGTGGGTGGGAGGTGGAATTGGGAACACAGGATGACACTCACTTTTTCCTAGTTTCCATCTGTACGGAAACTGACATCTCTCCCTCTCCCCAGACAAGGGCAGGGTCAAGGATCCACTTCCTTACAGACCTACTCATGTGCTGTGGTTCCCAGGGATGACCAAGGGAGGGGCTGTTATTTTGCAGATATCGATGAATGCCGTCACCCTGACACCTGCCCCGATGGAAGATGCGTCAACTCCCCTGGCTCCTACACTTGCCTGGCCTGCGAGGAGGGCTACAGGGGCCAGAGCGGGAGCTGTGTAGGTGAGGGGTGTTTGCAAAGGCACTGAGAGGGCTCTCTGGCCTTGGGACCTCTGGTCGAGCTCACACATAGGGAGAGAAAGAGCGGGACAGAGGGAAGCATCTTGGAAGCTATTGTCATCCATGATCCGGCTGGGTTCCCAGATGACGTTGAGCATGAGATGGGTGTGCTTCAGTTACTGGTACTCTGCCCTCTGAATCAGCTAGGGTGGAGGCCCCTTTGGCTTTTTGGCCATGTCCGTTCAGGAGCCATAGCCCAAGGTCCCAGAAGCTCCTGTAGCTGGATCCTGTTGGGCAGAGTGAAGTGCCAAGCATCCTAGGAGGAGTTGTTGTCAGCTAGCAGCCAGGCCCTGCTATGGTTTCCAGGGAGCAAGGGTCTTCTGCTCTACTGCATCTCAATAGCAGTGTCTAAACAGCAAGGCTTAACCGAACAGTGAGTGCTCTTCTCCTCCAGAGGAAGCTGCATGTCAGCTGTAGGAGGAATGTTCTTTACCAGCAGCCCCCGCAGGAAGAAGGGCCCGGGTTCAGAATGCCAGGAGGAACTGAGTTGTGAATAGATGCTTTGAGTCTCTGGAGAGGGCAGACATTTCCCAGGCCCTTGACACTGCCATTCAGGCACCCAGGCAGAGCTTGGCCTCTCTTTGCCTTGCCCACTCACCTGTTGAAGCTGGTTGTTGGGCTGGGAATATGAGATCATACGTTTGGTTGGCAGAGAGGTTCAGACCCACCGTAAGGTGAGTCAAGGTCTTGGACACTTCACTACAAGTGTCCTCTGGTGGGCAAAACTAGCCCCAAGGCTGGGGGATCTAGCCCCCTTTTCTAGTACATATGCAGTGTGCTCTGTGTTACTAGAGCTGAAGTGAGCTCAGTGGGGAGGGGCATTCTTTCCTGCTTTAGTGAGTGGGGCCAAGAGCTGTAATGACCTCGTGGCCTTCCCAGGGTGGCCTACAGTGCCTCTCAATGGTGATTCCTTGGCCTCATAGTTGAGATGCTCTATGCCTGATGAAGGGGGCTGCATGAAGGAAAGGAGGCCAGCCTGCCATCTTGGACTTCTCTCCCACAGATGTGAATGAGTGTCTGACTCCCGGGGTCTGTGCTCATGGAAGATGCATCAACCTGGAGGGCTCCTTTAGATGCTCTTGTGAGCAGGGCTACGAGGTCACCTCGGATGAGAAAGGCTGCCAAGGTACAAAGATACTAACGCATCCTTCTTCCACAGCAAACCGGCCTGTAGCTCCTTCCCTCTACACACACACTCCGACCCCTGGCCCTGCATCCCTGACCATGCTGATCCAACACATCACTGCCAAGACCTGTCCTTTCCCCTACCTCTGCACACCTGTCAGTCTCTGCTATCCTGGCACGTCTGTCCTGCAGAGTCCCACACAAAAATCAATGGCCTGTTTCAGATGTCAACGAGTGTGCCAGCAGGGCCTCGTGCCCCACGGGTCTCTGTCTCAACACTGAGGGCTCCTTCGCCTGCTCAGCCTGTGACAGTGGGTACTGGGTGAATGAAGACGGCACTGCCTGTGAAGGTAACCCTGAGGAGGAAGTTGGCAGAGAGAGACCGAGAATATAGGCCCTCTTACCTTCCAAAGGACATTCCATATGTCCCCTAGCTTTGGACTGATGCTGAGGGTCTCCAGGCTAGGCTAGTTGACCCTATACATGGACTTGGCCTAAGGAGAGCTTCTATCATCATAATCCCCAAGTTTAGAGGTGAAGACAGAAGGAAAAGGGAGTCACAGAGACAGGAGGGAAGCTGACAGTAGAGCTGCCCCAGGAGCATTCTGGAGAGAGGGTGCTGGAGTTGCCCTAGAGAAAATCCACTACCAGGGCCTGCCCTTCCCCAGGGGCCTGGAGAGAGTCCTACAAGCTCAGAGAAGGAGGCCAGAGGCGTGGGGAGGTTCCTGCCTCGCCGGATGGAGGGAGCCCTCCTAGGCCCGCAGGGTGACCAGCTGCTGTCTGCCCCAGACCTAGATGAATGTGCCTTTCCTGGAGTCTGCCCCTCAGGCATCTGCACCAACACTGCCGGCTCATTCTCCTGCAGGGACTGCGACCAGGGTTATCGGCCCAGCCCCTTGGGCCACACCTGTGAAGGTGAGAGCCCCTGCAGGGGAGGAGAACACAGATGGGATTCAGGATTCAGGGAGACTAACCCATCACCCTCAGAAAAGAAAGTAGCCAGGACACAACAGGGGCTGTTTTCAGACCAAGGTCCCCTCTACCTACCTCGGATGGTGGCCTAGCTGGGTACACTTATTCTCACCCCTTGACCAACAGGAGTCGGAAAGCCAACTGCAGATCAGGGTCTGGGGGCCAATGAGCCACTGGACCACAAGCATCAGCATCGCTGGGCGAGCTTGTTCCACATGAGCTTCCTGGACCTTGTCCCAGGCCTGCTAAATTAACTTCTGTTGCCAAGGGTGGGGTGGGGGTGGGGGAAGCTTGGGTTCTGGTTTCTAACAAGTTTCTCAAGGGTTCCTCATAAGGGTAGATGTTCGGATCATATTTTAAAAGACACCAGCCTGCACCAGGCAATCTGTAGGCCAGCTTGAAGAGTCTAGTTTGCTACCTTCTCAGGTTCTCTGTATCTATGTACTTGGCTTATTTCTCATCTGTTTTCTTATTGCTTCTCAGTAAAATCTAAGCCATCTCAGCTATAAGGGTAGTGGGATTTGGCCACCCTAGTCCAGGGTTGCTGAGAAAGGCCAAGTGTTCCCAAGGTGGGCATTGTGTGGGCAGCTAGAGAAGCCCAGCCAGAGGCAAGGAGAGCCTGCTGAGCTGGGACAAAGTAGAGGGAGCTGGAGTCACCCTGCTCCCCAGAGGCTCCCTCACCAGCTTCTCCCAAGTATGTTGCTTTATAAGGGGATGACGCCCCTGTGGGGCCAGACTCCTCATGCAGAGCCTTCTGGAGACCTCCCCACTGGTTCCTGTCCTTGGGAGGTGCTGCCATTGGCTTCTTCTTGTGTGACTCTGCAGATGTGGATGAGTGTGAAGACCCCCAGAGCAGCTGCATAGGAGGCGAGTGTAAAAACATGGCTGGCTCCTACCAGTGCCTCTGTCCCCAGGGCTTCCAGCTGGCCAATGACACCGTGTGTGAGGGTGAGTGGCTCAGGTTTCTCCAGGGGAACTGGGGTCGGTGTTTGGGGAGGTGGGAACATCCCCAGGAGTGAACACTATCATCTCCCTGCAGACGTGGACGAGTGCATGGGAGAGGAGTACTGCGCACCCCACGGGGAGTGCCTCAACAGCCACGGGTCCTTCTTCTGTCTTTGTGCACCAGGCTTTGCCAGCGCAGAAGGCGGCACCAGCTGCCAGGGTGAGACGCCAGTTTGGCCATGTCCACTTGCCAGCAGCAGAGGGTGCTGGAGACTAGATCTAGTACCGCGATAAAATGCTCCTGGTCCCACCCAGGAATGGGAAGATGGGAGGTTGACAGTAATGAAAGGGACAAGTGTCAG